TGATTTGTTTGGATTTATTTTTATCTTCCTCGAGTTTGATTGCAGTCATGTGAACTTTATATAGGTCAGAGAGAAATGGTTGGGCTTTTTTCAGGTCTTGTAGTGTTGGTGAGACAACGGTGGACCAAGGAAGTTGATAGTGTAGGATCAGTGAAAATGCTTGTTGATAAATGGTCATCCAATTTTTCAGAACAGCATATGTGCGGAGGTCTTGTTTGGTAAGACATTGTAATTTCTGGATGGCTACCAGTTGTTTATACATATTTTTCAATAAACGAGGATGTAAGTCTCTTGAATGGGCTGAAGAGTGTCGTATAGGTATGCATTTGTCTGCAGCTTTGATGATGCATCCTTGGATAAGGTCCCAAAAGAAATTCAAAGTATTTTTTGATTGCAATTTTTTTGGAGAAAGGTTAGTTAGCTGGCAGCTATTAACGTAAGCATCAACTTGTTTAGAGAATTTAGTCCAAGATTTGTCGTCTATTTGGTCGAATTGGTAAGCTTTCTTCTTAATTTGATTTTTAGTTTTGGCTGATACGTTTATTTTAGTAATACTTATGTTGGTGAAAATAATCGAGTGATCTGAGACATGTGAGTCAACTGCGGTTGTGTCAGTGAAATTAATACCTGCAGCTACAAGCGAAGAGCAGTAAATATGATCAATTCTCGTTGGTTGGTATCTAGTCAAGTGGAAAAAGGAGAGAAAAAATTGGTTGGCATTATCATGGATAAGGTTAAAAACGTTAAAGAGCTGTAATTCGTCTAATTGTAAAAAGAACAAGTTAGCATGAGACATATTGCTGGGTCTATCAGGCACAGCATTAAAATCTCCTAATAAAATTATTTCTATATTCAAGCCTTTTGCTTCAGCGATCAGTTTGATGGTGTCATTGTATATTTGTTTACGCAGGATTTTGTTTGAACTTGAAATGTAGCAGTTGATAAGGTGGATACGAAACTTCTTTTGAAATTGGAAGTCTACGAAAATTATGCGACCATATTTTCCATTATGTTTATAAATGTGATTAGCGAGACGTTTGTTGATTAAAAGTCTGACACCTGTATCAGATGTTTGAGTATCTTCAAAGTTAAAAAAGGAAATATATTGAGACGAGGTCGAGTTATTAAAACTGAGAACGTCATTGTTTGACTTGAAATTTGTTTCTTGAATGCCGATGATGTCTAATTTATCGAAATTGTAGTGGTTAATTAATGCTTGTTGTTTGTGCGATTGGAGAAATGAATGAACATTGTGAGTTGCGATATTAATATGAGGAAAATTATTGATCGAGGGGTTTTCTAACTTGTTGTTAAAAGAATTAATTGTATTCGTGTTATTTGAGCTACTAGGGCTAGCTCTATTATTATTCTTTATTGTACTAATCATTAAAGGTATTTAGGTAAGGGCAGGGCGAAAACTCCATTCACATCTTTGGTATAGCTGAAGGGTGGGGTCACCTCAGCTATATCAATAAATGCATTGGGGTCAATTTTGAGTTGAGTTTAGAGAAGACGTTGCATGTTCGCGATGGCCAAACTTGCATTGTTTAATTTGGAGAAGTTGTCTTCCAAACTGATTTTTAATAGGGCGTTTTCTTCTTTGAGGTGGGCGATTTCAATAGCTTGTTTTTTAACTATATTATCTTTGATGTTAGGGTCAACTACAAATTCATGTTCTTTTTCAGTTTCTATGCCTTCTTCATTAAAGTATTTATTCAGTAATTCAGCCTGGTGGAGTAAAAGTGTATCAATATTGAGAACTGATTCGATAGCTACAACTCTTTCAATGGTGCAGTGTATGTCACGATCCATCTTGGCTAACTGGCCTGTGATGGTTTCAAGTTGGTTTGAAATTTTAGTGAACATATCAGGTTGTTCATTTTGACCGTTGTTGTCTTTAGGACTGCGGTAATTATAATTGTATTCATAGTCGTCCACCCAAGAGCTGTGAGCATAGATACTTACATCCAGGGTTTCCTCACCCTTGTTGTTAAATGGTTGCTTGGGTTTATTAGACTGAAAAATAGGAGGGGGATTAGGTTTGTTGATTGGCTGTTTGGGAGTAATATTTGTCAGTTTAGGAATTGTATTTGGATTTTTTGAGTCATTATTTTGGTTTGATGTGACATTGTTGGTTTGATTCATTGTATATGGTGTCGATTTATTAGGATTAGATGGTTTGGGTTTATTAATAGGAGCCTGATAGTTGCAGAATTGTGCCGGTTGGAATCTTTGGTAAAGTTGTTGTGTTTGCCGGTCCCCAGAGGACAATCTTTTTTTACGACAATTTTGCGATTGGTGGCTAGGTGTTTGGCAAATGAAGCAAAGCTTTGAATTCAGGTCGGCCCAGATCAGTCTTTTTCTATCAAGATAGAAAGTCTCTCCATTTTTAGCGGCATCTATTATCTCTTTGTCTTTGAAGTAGAAGATAGCATATTGTAAGTTGCGGTAGTTGACACGTGATTTAGGAATGACCCAAGCTATAGCCTCAATTGCATTACCGATCGAAATAAGGTGATGGCCGTTGATGTCGAGAGGTAGATTCGTGAGTTTAAGGAAAAATTGGGATTTTTTCCTGACATCTTCATTCGACATTGTACAAGGATGAACTCAGACAAGGTCTTTTAGGACGAAGTAGCTGTTAAGTTTATTCAGGGTGGTCATGTCGGTATTTTCTTCAAAGGTAATAGTAGCTTGTTGCTATAAGTTTTTAGTAGACATCGTGCATTTGGTGATCTTCCCAAAAAAGGAAAATGTAGATTTCAAGTTTGATTCTGTAGTAGAGGTCGGGATCTCAGTTACTCTGATCGATAAATCTGGAATGTATTTTGCGGCCGGTTTAGTGATCAGGGGTGAAAATATATTATTGTTCAAACAAGGAATTTTGAGAGTAACTGCATGATTGGCTTTATCGCACGAGGTAAAACCAATTCGGACAATTTTTTTGTTAGGGTCATCAGGTGAGTGCGTACTGATGCACTAATGAAAGAGGCATAATGTGATGCAAATACGTCGCACGCCTCATTTTGTTTTTCTCAATTAGTTTTAGCTGGGAAAAAGCGTTCAGCAGCGCAGTAGGCAAAGTAGATTGGGGCTTCTGTTTCTCGTTCAAGGTGAATACCATTTGCTTTATTTTTGTCATTATTAAGGCCATTTTCAGTAGCGTCAAAAGCTTGGTCGATATCTATCAGGGCTTTTGGAGAGGATGAGAAAGTTTCTGATATTTTTCCTTTGTTGCTACGTAAATGAGCAGTTGTGTTAAGATTCATATCAGAAGACGCGACATTTTCTGTAATATCTTTTGAAGACGAAGCTTCAGTTGTTTGAGAAAGTTCAATAAACTGTTTCTTAGCAGGTCGTTGCTGTTGGTCATTGTTAGAGAAAGAAGAGCGAGTCTTGTTAGACTTGTTGTTGTTATTGTTATTTTCGTTTTTTTTTCTGATCATATTGAAATTGGAGATCAGTGGAAAGAGTTTTTCAATTTTGTCTAATCATAGATTTTAAGCTTTTAATTACTAAAAATAAACAATTTTCTAATTAATAATAAAATTCATATATATTGTTTGATTTTAATATTATCAAAAATTATATGATATTTTTAAGATCTATATTTATAAAAAAATTCTTATAAATGTTAAAATAATTAATTATATTATTTATATTAATACCTATATATAAACTCTTTGTAATAAAAAGGTAAGAAACTACCAAAAAAAATTTTTTTTTGCTTTATAAGCTAAATATTATTTTTTTAATAAAATAAGTTCAGATTTAACATTAACTCAAAAAATTTTTTTTGGTATTTTTTTCCTTTCTATTATAAAGATCTCATATATTTTTTATTATTTTGTAATATAATATATTTTATATTAAGATAATAATAAATAATTATTATAAAAGCATTATTATATAACTTTTATAAATAATTTATAAATATTGAGAATTTTTTAAGTTTTGAAAATTAATATTATTAACTATATAAATAAATCATAAATAATTTATAAAATAATACTATTTTTTAATTTTATGAAATACATTTTTTTTATTAAAAAAATTTTTATAATATATATAATATAAATAATTTATTATCAATTAATAGATAAATAAATTTATTTTTAATATTATTTATCTTATAATAATTTTCTATAGAATATTTACATATATTTTTCTTATGCTTCTAATTTTATTATCTGAATTATTAAAATCTATATGGGACATATTACAACAAAAACTAGTTAAATTCCTTTTTAAACTTTCAAAATAAATAAAAAAATAGCAAAGTATATTAAAATTATAAATAAATGTTTAGTTCGTAAAAGAAACAGCAAACTTTCTTTGAATTGCTAGATTTTGATCTGATGAATCTGTTTTTAACTTGAGTTATTAAAACTGACTATCAAGCTTATGTTTTATATTTATGTATACATTAAACAGCTTAATTAATTACTAACTTTATATTATTATCATTATCTATTAAATTTGTATTAGTAGACTATACACAAGCTTGAACATATCAATCAAGTCTTTTTGCTTAATATTTCTAGAGTGCCAGATAGTAACCAATAGGGGTTAACTTAGAGATTCTTAATGAACTAAATTATTTTGACCTTATTGAAACTGAACTTGATAATTGTCTCTTGCCTTTTTTCATCTGAAATTATACCATTAATCTATTTGATTTCTTTCACAATATGTACTGCATCTTTGCTTATGATAGCTGTATTTTTAATAAAGGCAGAATTCTTTGTGAGTTGCTTATTTATTTGACATTTTTTTTCTAAACAGATACTCAATATTTATTAGCCAATAAGAAGTTCTGCTAGTGCTAGAAAGTCATATATATTCTATTATATTGTTTAATTTTGTCAAACCTCAAGATAGCTTGTTTTGTATATTCTAAGAGATGAGTTCTTAAAGGTCTTAATTCTCATTGTATTGATAAAATAACATGGACTACCATCATGTTAAATAGCAGAAGCCCTTGCTAGATATAATAATAAAAAGACAACTAGTTTAATTCTAGAAAGCTTTTGTGAAGTTAAAGAAGAAAAACTGAAGGATATTCAGTTTAAGGAAAATGAGCTATCTTTATATGATTTCATATCAGATGGTATAGATAATAAGAAGTATTTTCACACTCTTAATGAATTCTTCTATATTTTTACTATAAAAAACTTAAGTAAGTTATTTAATAGAATAACAAAAATATTTTCTGTTATGCTCACGTTCTTTTATTATTTGTAGATATTCGTTTTTTCTCGCTATCGATAAATAGAATATTAAGTTTGAAAAATCAAAAAAATTGTGTGAAATTGTTTGACCTTATTGCCCTTCAAAAGCTAGTAATCTATATTTTGCATGATAGTCAATGACTCTTAAGCTATAACTGATTATTCCTATATTTAGCATTTAGAATTTTGGCTCTATACCATTTATTCATTATTTAACCTGATCAGCAGATTCTAGAATACTAACAAGCAGACCCTTAGCATGAATATTCTGCAGTATAGCAATGAAGAATTTGACATTATCTTAAATTACCAGTAATATTATAAGCAATTGCCTAAAGGTGTAATTTTATTATAGATCAAGTCTATTATCCTATTTGTCATGTTGTTAGTACTTATTTTCTCTTTTCTGGAAGATATTGATGATAAAGAAATTCAAAGCTATTTTAGCGGCATGCTGAGAATGATCTTTTTTTATATGAAACCTCGCATGGATACTTAATTTGTCATTTAAATTGATCTTAGAGAACTTCTACAAATAAGCTGAAAGTTACTATAGGCGGAGTATTCATATGATCCTAAAATATACTGATAAATCATCTACAGTAAAAAGGAACTTCATATATAATATCGCAGCATAGATATGCTTAAACATTTATAGTATGGCATTTGTCACTATTATGGAATATTTTTAGCTTGTTTGTCAAAACGAGAATAGATGATGGCACTCCTTTCTATGACTATATCTGTTTACCTATGTTCAATGTCTTTATTAACCATCTATAGAAATTATCAAATCAAATTCTTAAAGTGCTAATAAGCATTTATATTCCTTTTCTCTATTCTTTATACTCTATATATATATAATTAAATTTTGATTTTCCAGTCTGCGAATTTAGAGACCCATAGTCAAGCCTTTGAGCTTTTAGTTACTCTTCATTTTTACATTTATTCCAAGACTATTATTCACTTATTAAATAAAGACCTCATAGGAAAAGAACAAAATACAAGAGATCTAACTATTATCATAACACAGGTTATCAAACAACCTAAAGAGCTTACCAATGAATCCTTATTTCTAGGCATACTTTTTGTCTTGCGTAAAGGTCATCATGTCCTTAATTTAGTAGTTTATTTAGAGAATTGTGACCTCTTTCTCATCTATATTTTAGTTTTGAGTTACATGAATTACGACAAAAAGGTCACAAATCTCAAAATGATTACAATAAAAATAATGTTCTTGAATACTATATGAGTCTTTGTTAGAAGAGTCCTGGGATTCTGCAGTTTTTGAAAATTTTATCTGATGATTTAGACTGCTTTAAAAAAAAACTATCTGCAGGCATGTACTATTTATATATTATCTATAGATGAGGGACGAAACCCCTTAATAACAGTCGAAGCTTAGACGAAACTATATTAAAATTATAATAAGGGATATGACGAAACCCTTTTGATACGACGAAAGCCGAAACTGTCGAAACTATATTAAAAATATAGAAAAGGGTATGACGAAATTATTTTGAGGAGGTTTCGGCAGGCATCTATAATATTATCACATCAAAATCATAGGTTAGAAGAATGACCAGAGTTTGAACAGGATAATATGATTTAAGTATCATGTTAGGGTCTCTGTGGGAGTCTCATAAAGAAGCATTGTTAGCATAGAATATATGGTAGAGTATATTATTAAAAATATAGGGATAAAGAAATTATGTATCAGTATGCAAGTCCCAGTTAATATTGTGTTTTTTATCTTATAATCTGTTAATATTAGCGTTTCTAATATATTATATTAATATTGTAATAAATTCAAATAATTAATCTATTGTTAAAGATTTATCCTCAGTATTTTTTCATTATATTCTCATGAATTTATTTACAATATGAATATAAAATTAGTATATAAATTCTCCAGTCTGCTCTGTATTCTTAATATTTCAAACTCTATATATGCTATTCTAGCAAAGTAAAATTGAATAATGATATTCTATCTTATTCTACTATAAAAATACTTATCTTACTGGTATTTGGATATATTATAAGAATTGGGAATTGGGTTGAATCCTGAATTAGTTGTAGAGGTAAATATAAAAAAAAATAATAATTATCTAAAAAAAAATTGTAATTAAAAATTAAAAAAAAATCAAAATCGCGAATTAAAATTAAAAAATTTCAGAATTAAAAAAAAATTAAATAAAAATTATTTAGACGAAATTAACAAAATAAAAAATGAAATTTATAACTTTAACAAGATTAAAAACTACTATAACTAATATATCAATAACTTTCGAAATAAAATAAGAAAAAGATTTTATGAATACAAGCACTAACACAAATAATGTAAAGATATTCAATAGTTTATATTTATTAGTAATATTATATTAGATATTTATAGAAAATGTCATTTTAACAGACATTTTTGAACATTTTAAACTACCTTTCTATAGGAAGACATTTGATCTCATTGATTAAGTAGAAAAATGGTATTTTTTAATAGAGTTTTGATATTATTTGGATAAATCTGATTTGGATTAATAATAAGTTTGCTAATTAACTATAAAATAGATATTTTAAAATTTTGTAACTCTCTCAAATTATTACAAAGATAAAAGTTTTTAAAAAAATCGTAACTTTATGATGAGTATGAATCAATAAAAAATGCATTTATAACAATCGGTAATTTTTCTTTTAATGTAATTTAAGCATATATTTATATAAGCAATATTTTCAAATTATCTTGATAAAAAAAAGAAAAGTAACTTTCTGAAAAAAATAAAATATCAAAATATTTAGCAATACCATAATTTTGTAAGTAGAAAATCCAATAAAATGTGAAGAAAAAATGCATAAAATTTCCTAATTCTTTTTTAACTTGCTTAGAAATAAAAGTAAATAAATGCCTATTTTTATGCTGAATACCTCATTTCTTTTTTTAAAAATTGACATTAGTGGGTAAAATGCTTTTTTTTTTAAAATGTAACATAAAGTTTTTGCATCTGGCTAAAATAATTTAGAAGATAATAAACTAGAAATAGTATAGTAAATTTATATTTATTATATTAATAATAATTATTTACTTTATACTTTGTATTTAAATAATAAATTAAATTATAATCAAAAAAAAATTATTATATAAAAAATTTGATTTGCAATAAAGATTTATTAACATAAACAAAGAATTTTTCTCACTATAGCCTTCAATATCTTTCAGCCTACATAAATAGACTAATTTTTTTATATCAAAGATTTTCAGATATAATTAACTTGAAAAGAACAATTGCTCTTTTTCTCCTTCTTCTAATTTATCAGATTTTAGTAAATAATGAATTTTAATATAAAATGATAAGAGAGGTCATCAAATTCTTATAATATCATTTCGATTAATAGAAAACTATAAATTTTAAGTAATTTTAGTTATTAAGCTAGTTTTGTTCACATAATCATGATCAGCAGAGTGAACCAATAAAAAAGTTTTGACTAAAAAGTAGATTTCTTCCTTTTTTACTGACTGCTTTCTATATATTTTATTTTTGAGTTTAATAAGTTTAATATTTAATTAACTGTAAGTATATTTATTTGGTAGATCATATAATAGAATAGATATTATATATATAAAGCATATTTAATTATATATATCTTTCAGCTAAAGCTTCAGATAAATTATTTAATTTCTTATTCTGATTTCTTTAAGATTTTCATATTAGACCTTCTATTCAATTATTTTAAAATTATCATTTCTTTATAATCTATAATATTTCTTTTCATTTTAATTATTATTTCTTTAGTTATTTAATAATCTATTAGCATTCTTTAAAATATATACAGTCAACTCTTTTTAAATGCACTCCTTAGAACTATAATGAAAATTTTAAAAAAGTATGCATTTAAAGAGGATGTGTATTTAAAAAAAAGATTTTTTATATAATTTTTATATACTTAGAAACAAACGAGTACATACATTTAGAAAGAAAATATATAATGTATATATTTAGAGAGTGTGCATTTAGAGAGAATTGACTGTATTATCAATTATACATTTTTTCTGATTTATTTTATTAATTTCTCTTTTAATTTTTTATTTACTTTTTTTCTTAATTAATTATTAAATGAGTATATTAATTTATTAAAATAAGTATTATATTTTTTATAATTTCTAAAAATAATTAATTATAAATTAATAAATTTGCTAAGAATTAGAACAAACCTATTATTTATTTTAAATATTAAATTTATACATAATTCCTCTTTATTATTATATAATTGAATTATATAAGTAACTGATTTATATAATTTGTTTTTTAAGTTTTAATATCTAAATACTAGAAAACTATTTAATTATATGCATACTACTGGTTATTTCTTATACTAATTTAAACTTTTGAAATTATAATTAGACTCAAGATCTAACTAAAATCTATCTGATTAATACTATTTAAAAATTGTTACTAGATTATAAATATCTAGAATCTAAGTCTTGAGATCTCTAAACTCTCAGAATTACTATTAAATTTAGATTGAGAGATTACTTTCAACTATAAAAATCATTACTTTCTTATTCTTATCAATACCAATTAAAATTACTATGATCTCTACCTATTATTAGAGTATTTAATATATAATTAAGAAGACTTAAATTAAATAATCTTATAAGACTTATATTCTAAAAGTTATAATCCTATATAAAATTTAGAAATTTAGGTTACTATCATAGCTATATCATCAAACTTATCAAAAAATTGAACCTAATTTTTATTCTAAGTGATAATTTGATTAAATAGTACTATGATATGATAATGTAATATAATCTATTATTATTATAGTTATTTAAAGATAATTAGTTTATTAATCACTGATTAACTATTTTCTTATTTGTGTAAAAATCTCTAAATTTGAAAATATAAGATAGTATTCATTACAGATCTATAAGTGAAAGTCAAATTTTTATTGATTCTTAATTTTATTTATACTATTCTTCATATTTAGTATTTAAGTATAATTAATATCAATTAATAGATTGATCAACTAATTTTAATATATATTAGTTAATATATATATTTATATATTCAATCATAATAAATTCTTATAAAAATTATACAATTTTATACTTCAACTGAAATATGAATCTATAGCTATTAGTGTTTCAGGCGAAACTATTTTTCAACATCTGAAACGTTTCGCCCAGAGAATTTTTCTATGATCTGAAACTATCTGAAACTTCCGAAACCCTAAATTTGGAAAGATTTTTGCAAATCAAATTGGCGAAACTAGTTTTGCCTGAAATACTAATAACTATTATAGTATAATTTATAATAGAACTCAATTATTATTTATTATTATCATAATAATTTATATATTTTTTTAATTTTCAGTATACAAATATTAGAGAATCTATTAAATGATTATATATTTTTTTATAAGTTGCTTCTGACGCTAATCATAAATCTTTTTAGATTATAGTTAGATCTAAATTCTAATCAGAATCTGTCTAAAATATAGTCTAAAGATTAGTATCTAAACTAATTATTTAAGATATTAAGCCTTAAGATTTCTAATTTCTAAACTACTATTAAATTTGAATAGAAGGATCATTTTTAGTTATAGAGATTATCATTTCTCTATTCTTATTAATACTAATTAGAATCATTTTGATTTTTATCTATTATTAGAGTATTCTAATATATTATCAAAAAGGTTTAGACAAAATAATCTTATAAGGCTTATGTTCTAGGAATTATTATTTATATAAAACTCAGAAAGATAGATAATTATCATACTCATATTATCAAATTCATTTAGAAACTAAACCTGATCTCTTTTCTAAGTAACAGCTTGATTAAATAATTACTGTGTAATATAAAGTATCTAATTTACTAATTATTAATTAACTACTTTCTTATTTGTATAAAAACCTTAAATTTGAAGACGTGAGATAATATCTATTATAGACCTATTAGTAAAGGCTAAGTTTTTATCAATTTTTAATTTTATTTACATTCACTTATTTTGCAAAGTTTAGTATTTAAGCATAATTAATATTAATCAATAAATTAATTGATTAATTACTAACGTATATTAGTATATCTGTCTATATATTTAATTATAATAAAGTTTTTGTAAAAATTATCAAGTTTTAAGTCTTAATTAAGATCTAAACTTATAGCTATTATAGTGTAACCTATAATAGAAGCTTAGTTATTATAATTAAACTAAAAAATCACCTTTAACTAATTTACATAATTTGTTTTAAAATTACATTACAATATCTAAATATTAGGAATTTATTTAATAATTATTATGCATATATTTTAGAATTATGGAGTATTTATTCTCTTATATATTAATCTTAAGACCTTTAAAATATAAAAATAAAAGAATGGATTATTCATTTTACTTTTTATAATCAATTAAAAAGAAACTTAATTTGTATAATATTTAATACACCTGATAAATAAATTTTAACTGTTATAATAATCATACTCTATATCTACATTACTAAAACTAAAAATTTAAATATATTTAATGATAATATAACAGATTATACAAAAAACTTGATTAATAAAACAATTTTCAGAAGTTTAAATTACTAAAAAAGAATAAGAAATAGATTAGACAATTATTTATATGAATTCAAAAAGCAATAACTTTTAAAAAAGTAAAAAATCTAGAAAACCTAAAATTATATTCTTAAGTATATTTTTAAAAAAAAATTTCATTTTGAAAATAATAAACCACTTCTTTTTAAATATTTGTATAAATTAGAAGTTATATTTATGATTATATTATATAGTTAAAAAATTTATTAAATGTTATAATTATAATAAAAAATCCTTAAGGTATAGTCTTAATAAATATCTATTTTACAAAAAATAATACTATAATTAATTTAAAAAAAAAGGTGAATTTTATGATTAAATAAAGTCATTCAAACTAGTTGATAAAAACTAATCACATATTTAGTAAGGTAGATCTTAATAATTAATTTTATTTTTTAATCTGAAAATATAGCATATATAATATATCATGAAAATAATCAAATGAAAATAACTGATATTTAATAATATATTTTTTAAACAAATTAAAATATTAGAAAAAATTGAAAAACTATTATTCTTAATATGAAAAACTTAAAAAGAAGATCAATATATTAGAAAATAAATTAGTAGATCTAGTTAAATGTATAGATAATAAATAATACTGTAGTTAATTTAATAAATGAAATGATTTCATTACTAATTAGCAATAAATATAAGAATTGATTGATTTATTTGATCTTATTTATTTAGAAAATCTGAAGTAATTGATTTAAAAAATAAGAATTACAAAGAAATTAGGTAAAAATAGATTTTAAACCTGCAAAGCTAATTGTATAAGAAGGTAAAAAAATATGTAATAAATTAATATTTTCATTAAATAAATGAATAAAAATAAATGAATTATTATTAGAAATAATAAAATAATGGTATTATTCTAAAAGAAATTTTAGAAGGTAAGATATAAGATAATACAATCAGTTTAAAGTAGTGATCATCAACTCAGAAGAATTTTGCTGAGTCATATCATATATACAAAAAATGTAGATTTATTAACTGATACTAGATATGAATATTGGTCTGTGTCAGCTGAATTTTTTATGAAACTTTATGCAATTGTTGAAGAAAACCTTTGAACATAATAGAAATCTTCTCTTCAGTAAACCAAAGTTTCTTTACTTTTATTCTACCAAATATGTGTTTTATACCACTCTATTGCTAAAATAGGGTTGTCATTGATGTCAAATTTTTCCTGTATCAGTATTATTTTCTTCAGAAATGTAATAATAACTCATATGAATCAAGCAGTATTAATACTGAGATTTTCTGAATAGCTATTATATCCTTCTTCTTATAAAAATTACTTCATATAATTGATCAAGTGTTCACTTTGATCAGATTTATTGTTAGTATTATTTGTCATGATTGACTTTAAGATATATTTAATGTGGAAAATTTCGAGTCTGGGATAATCATAAGCTTGAAAATTGTGCGACAAAATAAATGGATCTCGTGTTATGGTTATTTTTTCCATGTGATTGATTAATCAATAACATGATCACAAAAACAATCAATTTGATAAATAAAATTATTAACGTGATAGATTCATTTTATAAATTTTTATTTCATAGTTTATTTCGTTTTGATACTTTGAAACAATACATATTTAATATAGAAAGAGTATAAAAATTTTAACAAATTAAAAGGAGCCCAAGGGAATTGCTAATGAATAAATTTTGAAAAACAAAAAAAAATAATTATACTTGATTCTAAAACCCTATTTCACTAAAAAAAATGAACTAAAAAATTGAGAATGAGATAAGGCAATACAATAGGAAAAAGAAACTTCAAGATTTCTTCATAATATCAGAATCAGAAGGGTTTCTGTTGAAATAAGAGAAAGATAAAAATGATTTCTTAGGAGGGAGATTGACATTTTTTTTATGGTGCTTGAATGCATTTTTTTGACCATGGATCGAAATATTTTTCAAATTTTTTAGTTCTTCGCCATTGAGTTTTAAATGATACAATTCTTTTTCAAGATTCACTATATCATTTGGCGAGATTGGAGTTTCGGAAGGATTACTGATCTCAGTTGCTTTCTTAATAACCTTTACCTTTTCCAGATATTCTTTTTTCGATTGTTCGAGTCTTTCGAGGAAGGCATCATTATAGTTAGCACGATCAATATTCTTTTTGACTTTTTCTTCGCGAATAAAATGATCTAGATAATCGGCATATGCGTCATTGAAAGTAGCTATTGCGCTCTGCCTTAGAAATTTTGCGAATTTGACGTTAATTTCGGTTATTTTCTTTTGTTCATTTTCCAGCTGGGTGCGTCTCTGTTGAATATTTTTTAAGAACAATGCCTTTGACTCTTGAAATGATTGCTTATTTTTGATAAGGTCTTGCACGCTTTTATCAACGACGTCTTTATTAACGAACTTAACATCCCAGACGTAATGCATATGAGTCATCCAGGAGCAACCACACTTGGTACACTTGCCATTACTGATAGCCGCACAGTTCTGCAAGGCTGCATTATTAACAGTATTACACGGAACTGTCAAATAACAGTGTGGATGGCAATGTGCATTATAAATTAATTTTCCGTCCACAATTTCAGTACGACATTTAGTACACACAGTTCTTGGATAACCTAAATTCATTTCCTCAACCGTTTTTTGTGTGATGAACAGCTTCTTATTAAGATCCTGAATGGATTCTTTGCAGCTATTAACCTCCTTTTGTTTTACGATAATCAAATCGATATTTGCTTGGATGAGTGTTTCTGCAAGTGCAAGAGGTTTGGCAAGGTTTAATACTATTTTTCTGGCACCGTTGAGTGTTAAAGTATCTTCGACTTTATGAGGGTCGCGCAAACTTAGAGATTTGATGAGTCTTTCCGATTCAATCACAGATCTTTTCCAGCTCTCCGCGAAACTTTGTTCATCCATTTTATCGAACTCAATACCATTTTTAGTTGCCGCTAAGAACCGAAACGATTCACTGTCAAAGCAGTACATAGTATCTTGATTCGTTTTTATTTCAACGCCGGATCTTTCTTTGAGAGAGTGAAGTTGTTTTTTGAGTGCTGGTAATGTATCTCCTGGACGATAGAGCGTTCCTCGAGAATTGGTAAAACAGAAGACAATATTGTCTTTAGCATTTTTGTGCAGATGTGATAATAACTCTTGTATGCAAAATCTAAATATAATAGTCAATCGAGCATCATTGGGTTTGAGTAGGATACAAATCCCATGCAGGTCTTCGTAATCACTGATATACTTAAGAATGTTTTCGAAATTTTCCATATCTTTTTCTGTTCCTCTGGTGTCTCCTATTCCGGGAGTATCGATCAATGTTACACAAATATCGTGTAAAGGAAAGCTATAGCTCTGGCATCCCTGGGTGGCTGACATTCCGGTATTATCTACATTCTCGTTTGAATCCTTATTTCCAACTTTTATCTCTTGCATATTGTACTCTTTATCCATTGTCGTGAATTTGGATGGGATAAGTACCTCCATGTCACCGGAAAGTGCATCATTTAACGTTTCAAAGTTGAGATAGTTAACAAAAGCATTTATAAATGTGGACTTTCCTACACCAGTCTCACCAAGCAACAATACATTTAATTCTTTTACCATGTTTTACAGTGAATCGAAAGCAGAAAGCTATCAATTATATATGAATTTACGTTGATACTGTACATATCTTCGGCTTATAAAAATCATGAGAAAATCATATTTACCCCAATAGTGAGAGTTACACGCAATTGGCAATTGTAAATAAATCTTGGAATGAAACAGATTTCGAACCAAATAGACCAAACCCGATGTCCAACATATCTCGAAATTTATGTAATCACAACACATGCTTTTGAATTTTGATTCTTAAAAGCTATCTTACAGTATACTATAAAGGGTAGTATAATGAGATTTTTTCTCAAAATGAAAACTCTTAAAATGGGTAGTGTTACTTCTAAAAAAGGATGATTTTTTTTTTTTCTATTAATGTGCGGCGGCTTAAGGCCCCGCTAGAGGAAAACTTGTTAACAAGTTAATGTTACCCTCGAAGCTAGCCTTTAAAGTCTCTGATCCACAGTTAAGGGGTACAGCAACCCAGCACTAGAAGCACATCCCCATCAGTTGCCACCTAGTTAGACTACCTATAACAGCTATACCCGCAATTATATATAATAAATAATAATAACATTGATTTTATTTAAAATTTTATTTTTATTTTCAGATCTCAAATACTAAATAAA